GCATGGCGGCGGTGCTGCCGGCGAGCCTCAAGGTGGTGGACGTGTCCAGCAACTACCTGGTCGGCTCCTTCCCCCCCTCCACCGCCACCACCGTCACCTGCGCCAGCAACTGCCTGCAGGACTCCTCCAAGTGCCCCAGCGGCACGGTCCAGCGCGCTGCCGCCGCGTGTGCCATCTGTGACACGCCCGATGGCACGGGCAGGCTGTGTGGCGGCGGCATCTGCACGCCCAACACCACGGACGCCCTCGCGGGCAAGCTCGTCAACTTTGGCACGTCGTCGCTCTTCTGCCTCGGCGCCTCCATGGACCCCCCCATGGGTCAGTCAGTGCGTGCTGTGCTTCCAGGATTGAGTGCGTTGGGAGGTGGGGTGTGTAAACAGACATGCTAGCACCTCTGCTTGATGCCTTGTGACTGGATTCAGCACTGGACGTCCGCACGGTCATGCTGCGCCCACACTCTCGCCCGCTGTCTGCGTCTGCTCCTCTCTCTGTCCCTCACCCGCCATCCTTCCCCTCCCCCCCCCCCCTCCCCCCTGGCAGCGGCGGCGCTGCTCAACATGAGGGCGTCGCTGGGGGTGACGTTCACGGACTGGGCGCTGGACTCGCCCTGTACCATCCAGGGCCAGCCGCCGCTGCCAGGCGCCTGGTCCAACATCGTCTGCAACGCCACCGGCAAAGTCATGTCGCTGTGAGTGACTCTCAGGGCAAAGTGATGTCGCTGTGAGTGACCCTTAGGGCAAAGTCATGTTGCTGTGAGTGACCCTCAGGGCAAAGTCATGTCGCTGTGAGTGACCCTCAGGGCAAAGTCATGTCGCTGTGAGTGACCCTCAGGGCAAAGTCATGTCGCTGTGAGTGACTCTCGGGGCAAAGTCATGTCGCTGTGAGTGACCCTCAGGGCAAAGTCATGTCGCTGTGAGTGACCTGCTGCAGGGCCGCCTCGCGTTCTTCACCCCCAACTCCAATGCCTGCGAGTCTCACATTCCAACGTGTGTCCTTGCGTGTGTGTGTGTGGCTGTTAGCAACGCGCAGCAATCTCACGCAGCAGAGGCTCCAAGGGACCATGCATGCAGACATCTCCAAGCTCACTGCGCTCACCTACATGTAAGCTGCCTCACCTACATGCAAGCCACATGCTAGCCTGCTCAGAGTAATTTCGTGGTGCTTGTCCCTGTGCGCTCTACCGCCGCCTTTCATATTCATTCCTCCCGCGCCGCTCACTCCTCACCTGTGCCTGCGTGCGTGCGCCGTGCACCCCTCCCTGGCAGCAATGTGCGCTCCAACCTGCTGGAGGGGCGGCTGGACGTGTTTGCCGCCAACTTCAAGGCGCTCTCGTCGCTCAAGGAGGCGTGAGTGCCGCCTGCACGGGATGGGATGGGACCACCGCACTGCACCCCACTGCACTGCACGGAATCGCCCCAGCAGTCGCGTTATCTCATATCATCTCCGTGTGTGATGTCACCCGTGTCCTCCCCTTGCCGCCCAACCTCGCCCTCTCCTCCCCTCCATGCACCCCTGGCGCCTCCTGTGTGCCCCGTGCAGCTACCTGGACTTCAACTGGCTCACAGGGCCCATCCCCTCCACACTCGTCACCATCGCCACCCTCTCCTCCTTGTCTGTCTCGCCACTCCCAGGGATGCCATGGGGACTGTGTGCCATGGGGACTGTGTGCCATGGGGACAGTGTGCCATGGGGACTGTGTGCCATGGGGACTGTGTGCCATGGGGACTGTGTGCCATGGGGACAGTGTGCCATGGGGACTGTGTGCCATGGGGACTGTGTGCCATGGGGACTGTGTGCCATGGGGACAGTGTGCCATGGGGACTGTGTGCCATGGGGACTGTGTGCCATGGGGACTGTGTGCCATGGGGACTGTGTGCCATGGGGACTGTGTGCCATGGGGACAGTGTGCCATGGGGACTGTGTGCCATGGGGACTGTGTGCCATGGGGACTGTGTGCCATGGGGACTGTGTGCCATGCGGGCTACTCCCATTGCTAGCTCCAATTCATGCTCACGTCCCGCTGCTCCACTCACTCTCTCACCTCCACACCCTGCCCCCGTCCTTCCGTCCCACACCACTGCCTTTCTGCCCCTGCCCTTCGTCGCCTCTCTCATCGACCGTGCCTGCCCTTCGCTGAAGCCTCCTGTTTCCACTCGCATGCTTCCACACGAACTCCTCCTTTGCGCGCCCTCCTCAACCCCCCTGCTGCAGTGAAGCGAGCTACAACTATCTGTACGGCGCCATGCCGGCGCCGGGTGCGGCGCTCAAGGCGGTGGCGCTGGACGGCAACTGGCTCTCGGGCACCTTCCCCGGCGCCGCCTTCTCCTCCTGCTCCGCCACCGCCAACTGCCTCGCTGCCATCGGCGCCTGCACCACGCTCGGCACCGTACAGCGCACCGCCGCTGCGTGCGCCGTGTGCAACAGTGCGGACGGGTCGGGCACGGTGTGCGGCGGGGGCACGTGTGCGCCCAACACCACTGTGCCGCTCAACAGCAGCGCTCCCAACAACGCCACGGCGCCGCTGCTGCCGCGCTTCTGTGTGGGCGTGGCGCTGGACGCGGCGCAGGGCGGAGTGCTGCTGGCGCTCAAGGCGTCGCTGGGCGTCTCCTTCTCTGATTGGACCGCCGCCACGCTCGCCGCCCCCAAGGCCACCTCCCCCACGCCCAAGGTGGGGCCGAAGCGGCGGTGGCTGCTAGGGAGGGGGGCGGGGGTGCAGTACGAGTGGAAGGCGGTGGGGTCGTGCACCATCCAGGGCCAGACGCCCATGCCCGGCTCCTGGCCCGCCGTGCGCTGCTCGCCGCTCGGCCAAATCCTCAGCCTGTGAGTGCCGCCGCTCCTGCCACCCTCCCTCCTCCACGCCACCTTGCCTCTGTGCAGCGGGTGCTTCTCCTGAGCGCCTCTCACTCCCCTCTCCCCCCTGCCCTCTCTGCCCCTGCTGCTGCTGCTGGGGCGTGGTGAGCAGGGACCTGAGGAGCCAGCTGTTGAGCGGCACTCTGCACTCCGACATCAGCAAGCTCTCCACCCTCACCACGCTGTACGCCGCCCCTTCACTCACCTCGCACATCCATACCCCCTCATCACCCCTGATCACCCCTCATCACCCATCCATACCCCCTCATCACCCAAACCCCCTAATCACCCATCCATACCCCCTCATCACCCATCCATACCCCCTCATCACCCATCCATACCCCCTCATCACCCATCCATACCCCCTCATCACCCATCCATACCCCCTCATCACCCATTTATACCCCCTCATCACCTATACCCCCTCATCACCCATACCCCCTCATCACCCATACCCGCTCATCCGAATCGCCCTGCCACCCCTGTGGGCGTGCGTGCAGGCGCCTGTCGTCCAACCTGCTCTTCCACCGCCTCGACTCCTTCCTCCTGCCGCTCACGCCCACCGCCTCCCTCAAGGAGCTGTCAGTTCCGCCCCGCCCCCGCCCCTCCTTCATCCATCCCCCCCACTTCCATTCTCTCTCCTATCACCTCTCTCCTCTTCTCTCCTGCTCCTCCTTCACCTCGTTTGCTCTCTCCTGTCCACCCCAACCCAACACATTGCATGTTAGAATGACAACGATACACCGTATGTATGCATGTGCACGTGTGTTTGCGGCATATGGATGTTCATGTGTATGCATGTGCGCCTGTGCCTGTGTATACGTGTGTGTGCGCCCTCATCCCCGCCCACCAGTCACATCAGCTTCAACTGGTTCTACGGCACCGTCCCCACCACCATTGTCAACATGCCCGCCCTCGCTGCCCTGTAACGCCCTCGCCCCACTCTCTCCCTCACCCCCTCCCAGCCCACTGCTCCGTCCCTTTCACTCAGTCATCCGTTCACGTCGTTGCAACCTCTCTGCTTCCATGCTCTCCTCATGCGTGGGTACCTCTGCCTTGTGTGCCTCTGCATGCGTGTGTGTGGGTGTCTGTGTGGCTCTGTGCATGGGCGGGGCGGCACACAGCATGATGGGCAACAACTACCTGACGGGCGAGGTGCCGAAGCCAGCGGCGGTGCTCAAGGCGCTGGGCGCGGAGTACAACTTCCTGTCGGGCACCTTCCCCGCCGCCACGCTCGCCTTCTGCTCCGCGCGCGCCAACTGCTTCCTCGACGCCGCCGCCTGCTACAGCGTCGACGGCACGGACCAGCGCGGCGCGGCGGGGTGCAGCGTGTGCGGGTCGGCGGCGGGGCAGGCGCCGCTGTGCAGCGGGGCCGTGTGCACGCCGGACCCGTCGGCGTATGTGGCGTCCAAAGTGCCCAACAGCGCCACCGCGCCCACACTCGCCCTCAAGTGCCCCTCGCTCGCCCTCGATGCCAACTCCTGTCAGTGCCCCCTGCCCATGCCATGCCCGCTGCACCATGCTGCACCACCATGCCTTGCACCACCATGCCTTGCACCACCATGCCTTGCACCACCATGCCTTGCACCACCATGCCTTGCACCACCATGCCTTGCACCACCATGCCTTGCACCACCATGCCTTGCACCACCATGCCTTGCACCACCATGCCTTGCACCACCATGCCTTGCACCACCATGCCTTGCACCACCATGCCTTGCACCACCATGCCTTGCACCACCATGCCTTGCACCACCATGCCTTGCACCACCATGCCTTGCACCACCATGCCTTGCACCACCATGCCTTGCATCACCATGCCTTGCACCACCATGCCTTGCACCACCATGCCTTGCACCACCATGCCTTGCACCACCATGCCTTGCATCACCATGCCTTGCACCACCATGCCTTGCACCACCCCACTCTTGCGTCCTGCACTGTGCCGTGCTGTCTGCTGCTTTCCTTGCTGCTCGCGGGCGTGTGTGCATGGGCGTGTGTGCATGGGCGTGTGTGCATGGGCGTGTGTGCATGGGCGTGTGTGCATGGGCGTGTGTGCATGGGCGTGTGTGCATGGGCACTCAACCATGTCCCATGGCCACTGTCTCGCCCTGGGAGCAGCGGCGGCGCTGCTCAGCATAGGGGCGGCGCTGGGAGTGACGCACACGGACTGGAGTGCGAGCAGCGGCTGCAGCATCGTGGGGGAGGCCGCCTCGCCCAGCACGTGGCCGGGCGTCTTCTGCAGCGGCACCGCTGTGCGCCTCCCTCCCCCTCTCCCAACCTCTTTCCTCACCCGCTCAAGCACTTGTTGAATTCTGTGAATCCTTGCTAGAAAGCTGATTAGGCCGGAAAGGAATGGACAGTAAATGTGAGGTTGTGAAGGAATGATGAGAAGGGAGAGGAAGAAGCACATATGTGTCGCTCTCTCTGTGCCTCGTGCCACTCCTCTGCCTTCCCTCGCCCCACTGGCCGTGCATGTTGCCTGCCATGGCAGCGCGTTGGACAACATGAATTTGCGAGGCACCATCCATGCTGACATCACCAAACTCACCACCCTCACCTACCTGTATGTGCATCACCCACCTGTATGTGCATCACCCACCTGTATGTGCATCACCCACCTGTATGTGCATCACCCACCTGTATGTGCATCACCCACCTGTATGTGCATCACCCACCTGTATGTGCATCACCCACCTGTATGTGCATCACCCACCTGTATGTAGATATGAGCATCGAACCGAACTTAAGTTCGGTTCGAGATGTTCGGTTCGAGTTATCGCGAACCGAACTTTTTTTTCTGCGAAAAAGGTTTGAGCAAACCTCGAAAAAGTTCGCGCGAACAGTTCGCGCAAACTTTTCCGGTTCGAGATTCGAACATCAAACCGAACAGGTTCGAGGTTCAAAAGGGTCAAATTCGAACCGCGAGGGGTTCGAAGTAAATTAACGTCAGAAAGAATACGCTCGCGACTTTCCCGTCAAAAAACGGGAAAGTCGTACGTTGGCTGCCAGTTGAGGCAGCCAACCCTAATCTCGTAGCAGAGTAGATATCAAGATCTAGATCAACTCTAGCTCACCCAATGCCTCCCTCCCCACTACCGTTCTTTCACCTCAGCTCCAACTTAGGATGTGTCAAACCTTAACTTGTTTGTTAGGTTTGACAGTTTAGTGATGCTGTCCATAAACCATTAGACATGCATGTGTTGTAACATGTGCATCATTTTTAACCTCAAACATGAAAATGTTCGAGTTCGCTCAAACCTTAGAAGGTTTGAGCAAACCTTTAGGGTTCGCCATTGTATACTCAAATCTCAAACCTTAAAAGTCTGAAAACAGTTCGAGCAAACCTGTTCGGTTCGGTTCGACCAACATGCAAGGTTCGAAAAGGTTTGCGCAAACATGTTTGAGTTCGGTTCGTGCTCATATCTACCTGTATGTGCATCACCCACCTGTATGTGCATCACCCACCTGTATGTGCATCACCCACCTGTATGTGCATCACCCACCTGTATGTGCATCTCCCACCTGTATGTGCATCACCCACCTGTATGTGCATCACCCACCTGTATGTGCATCACCCACCTGTATGTGCATCACCCACCTGTATGTGCATCACCCACCTGTATGTGCATCACCCACCTGTATGTGCATCACCCACCTGTATGTGCATCACCCACCTGTATGTGCATCACCCACCTGTATGTGCATCACCTCATTTGCAAGGATCCCCGTTTCCAGCCATTACCAGTGCTCTCCCTCATTCTCCTATGCTCACCAACCCGTCACTTATTCTCTCCCCATGCGCGCCCATCCCCCCATGCGCGCCCATCCCCCCATGCGCGCCCATCCCCCCGTGTTAGCCCATCCCCCGGTGCGCGGCACAGGAGCCTGGGGTACAACCTGCTGTACGGCCGCCTCACCACCCTCGTCTCCAACATCACGCCGCTCACCTCCATCCTCTCCCTGTGCGCCCCCTCGCCCCCCCCTCCTCCCCCTCCCACCCTCTCACATGCCCCCCCCTCCTCCCCCTCCCACCTTCTCACATGCCCCCACCTTCTCACATGCCCCCACCTTCTCACATGCCCCCACCTTCTCACATGCCCCCACCTTCTCACATGCCCCCACCTTCTCACATGCCCCCACCTTCTCACATGCTCCCACCTTCTCACATGCCCCCACCTTCTCACATGCCCCCACCCTCGCACATTCTTCCCACCCTTTCACATTCTTCCCACCCGCCTCCCACTGCTTCCATCTGCAGTCCCCACACTCTGTCTCTGCATGTCTCCACCCCCCTGGCCTCGGCCCTTTATGACACCACCTCACTGTCCCACTATCTGTGCTCACGTGCCCTCCTCCGCATGTGTGCCGCCCTCGCCCGCGCGCCCGCCAGCAACCTCAACGCCAACTACCTCTACGACAGCGTGCCCTCCACGCTGCTCAACATGCCATCGCTCACAGAAATGTCAGTTCCTCCTACCCCCACGGATTACACCTACATTCTTTAGGATGGCTGTGAGGTGCTGGTTGAGGGTGGTGGGTGAGTGGGTATGAGCACAGCCGCGTCATTGAAGTGCCTTTGGAGTGGATGCGCTCGTAAGCGCAGGCAAGCTTCCCTGCCACTGCTGCACGCGAGTCTGCCACACACACACCACCCCTTGCCCGCGCTCACTCCTCTCTCACGACCCGTGTGCGCTGGACGCTGCTCGTGTGCACACTCACTCGCTCTCTCCTTCTCCATCCACATGTGCATGTGCATGTGCGCTCCATCCATTCATCCTCACTTTCACTCACGGCCCGCCATCCCCCCTGCCCCCCTGCAAGCAGGCGTGTGAGTGGCAACTACCTGACGGGCGTGCTGCCAGGCGTGTCTGTGAAGCTCAAGGCCCTGGCCGTCAACCACAACTTCCTCGCAGGCGCCTTCCCCACGCTGGCCCTCCAGTTGTGCGACGTGCGCAGCAACTGCTTCTCCTCCCCCGGCACCTGCACCAACGCCAACGGCGTCGCCCAGAGCTCCACCGGCTGCGCCATCTGCGCCACCACCACCGCCGCCCCGCCCCTGTGCGGCGGCGCTGTGTGCATCCTCAACGCCACGGACGCGCTGGCGGGCGGCACGGTGAACAGCCTCACGGCCCCCGTTCAGCCCTTGTATTGCGGCCCCGCCACCATCGACGCCACTGCTGGTGCGCCCACTCACACTGCTCGCATGCCCCTCATGCACCCACAGGCGCCTCATGCACACAGGTGCACGCTGTGCACACATGCACACCCATGTGCACACATGCACACCCATGTGCACACATGCACACCCATGTGCACACATGCACACCCTTGTGCACACATGCACACCCATGTGCACACATGCACACCCATGTGCACACATGCACACCCATGTGCACACATGCACACCCATGTGCACACATGCACACCCTTGTGCACACATGCACACCCATGTGCACACATGCACACCCATGTGCACACTTGCGTCGCATGCGACTCTTGGCACCATGCCTCATGTTGCCTTCCTCTGACCTCCATGTTGCCTTCCCCTGAACTCCATGTTGCCTTCCTCTGACCTCCATGTTGCCTTCCCCTGACCTCCATGTTGCCTTCCCCTGACCTCCATGTTGCCTTCCTCTGACCTCCATGTTGCCTTCCCCTGACCTCCATGTTGCCTTCCTCTGAACTCCATGTTGCCTTCCTCTGACCTCCATGTTGCCTTCCTCTGACCTCCATGTTGCCTTCCTCTGACCTCCATGTTGCCTTCCTCTGAACTCCATGTTGCCTTCCTCTGACCTCCATGTTGCCTTCCTCTGACCTCCATGTTGCCTTCCCCTGACCTCCATGTTGCCTTCCTCTGACCTCCATGTTGCCTTCCCCTGACCTCCATGTTGCCTTCCCCTGACCTCCATGTTGCCTTCCTCTGAACTCCATGTTGCCTTCCCCTGACCTCCATGTTGCCTTCCTCTGAACTCCATGTTGCCTTCCTCTGACCTCCATGTTGCCTTCCTCTGAACTCCATGTTGCCTTCCTCTGACCTCCATGTTGCCTTCCCCTGACCTCCATGTTGCCTTCCTCTGACCTCCATGTTGCCTTCCCCTGACCTCCATGTTGCCTTCCCCTGACCTCCATGTTGCCTTCCTCTGAACTCCATGTTGCCTTCCCCTGACCTCCATGTTGCCTTCCTCTGACCTCCATGTTGCCTTCCCCTGACCTCCATGTTGCCTTCCCCTGACCTCCATGTTGCCTTCCTCTGAACTCCATGTTGCCTTCCCCTGACCTCCATGTTGCCTTCCTCTGAACTCCATGTTGCCTTCCTCTGACCTCCATGTTGCCTTCCTCTGAACTCCATGTTGCCTTCCCCTGACCTCCATGTTGCCTTCCTCTGACCTCCATGTTGCCTTCCCCTGACCTCCATGTTGCCTTCCCCTGACCTCCATGTTGCCTTCCTCTGACCTCCATGTTGCCTTCCCCTGACCTCCATGTTGCCTTCCCCTGACCTCCATGTTGCCTTCCTCTGACCTCCATGTTGCCTTCCCCTGACCTCCATGTTGCCTTCCCCTGACCTCCATGTTGCCTTCCTCTGACCTCCATGTTGCCTTCCTCTGACCTCCATGTTGCCTTCCCCTGACCTCCATGTTGCCTTCCCCTGACCTCCATGTTGCCTTCCTCTGAACTCCATGTTGCCTTCCTCTGACCTCCATGTTGCCTTCCTCTGACCTCCATGTTGCCTTCCCCTGACCTCCATGTTGCCTTCCTCTGACCTCCATGTTGCCTTCCCCTGACCTCCATGTTGCCTTCCTCTGAACTCCATGTTGCCTTCCTCTGACCTCCATGTTGCCTTCCTCTGACCTCCATGTTGCCTTCCCCTGACCTCCATGTTGCCTTCCTCTGACCTCCATGTTGCCTTCCTCTGACCTCCATGTTGCCTTCCCCTGACCTCCATGTTGCCTTCCCCTGACCTCCATGTTGCCTTCCCCTGACCTCCATGTTGCCTTCCTCTGAACTCCATGTTGCCTTCCCCTGACCTCCATGTTGCCTTCCTCTGAACTCCATGTTGCCTTCCTCTGACCTCCATGTTGCCTTCCTCTGACCTCCATGTTGCCTTCCTCTGACCTCCATGTTGCCTTCCTCTGACCTCCATGTTGCCTTCCCCTGACCTCCATGTTGCCTTCCTCTGAACTCCATGTTGCCTTCCTCTGACCTCCATGTTGCCTTCCTCTGAACTCCATGTTGCCTTCCCCTGACCTCCATGTTGCCTTCCTCTGACCTCCATGTTGCCTTCCCCTGACCTCCATGTTGCCTTCCTCTGACCTCCATGTTGCCTTCCCCTGACCTCCATGTTGCCTTCCTCTGAACTCCATGTTGCCTTCCCCTGACCTCCATGTTGCCTTCCTCTGACCTCCATGTTGCCTTCCCCTGACCTCCATGTTGCCTTCCCCTGACCTCCATGTTGCCTTCCCCTGACCTCCATGTTGCCTTCCTCTGAACTCCATGTTGCCTTCCCCTGACCTCCATGTTGCCTTCCTCTGAACTCCATGTTGCCTTCCTCTGACCTCCATGTTGCCTTCCTCTGACCTCCATGTTGCCTTCCTCTGACCTCCATGTTGCCTTCCTCTGACCTCCATGTTGCCTTCCCCTGACCTCCATGTTGCCTTCCTCTGAACTCCATGTTGCCTTCCTCTGACCTCCATGTTGCCTTCCTCTGAACTCCATGTTGCCTTCCCCTGACCTCCATGTTGCCTTCCTCTGACCTCCATGTTGCCTTCCCCTGACCTCCATGTTGCCTTCCCCTGACCTCCATGTTGCCTTCCCCTGACCTCCATGTTGCCTTCCCCTGACCTCCATGTTGCCTTCCCCTGACCTCCATGTTGCCTTCCCCTGACCTCCATGTTGCCTTCCCCTGACCTCCATGTTGCCTTCCTCTGAACTCCATGTTGCCTTCCTCTGACCTCCATGTTGCCTTCCTCTGACCTCCATGTTGCCTTCCCCTGACCTCCATGTTGCCTTCCTCTGACCTCCATGTTGCCTTCCTCTGACCTCCATGTTGCCTTCCTCTGACCTCCATGTTGCCTTCCTCTGACCTCCATGTTGCCTTCCCCTGACCTCCATGTTGCCTTCCTCTGACCTCCATGTTGCCTTCCTCTGACCTCCATGTTGCCTTCCTCTGACCTCCATGTTGCCTTCCCCTGACCTCCATGTTGCCTTCCTCTGAACTCCATGTTGCCTTCCCCTGACCTCCATGTTGCCTTCCTCTGAACTCCATGTTGCCTTCCTCTGACCTCCATGTTGCCTTCCTCTGACCTCCATGTTGCCTTCCCCTGACCTCCATGTTGCCTTCCTCTGAACTCCATGTTGCCTTCCTCTGACCTCCATGTTGCCTTCCTCTGACCTCCATGTTGCCTTCCTCTGACCTCCATGTTGCCTTCCTCTGACCTCCATGTTGCCTTCCTCTGACCTCCATGTTGCCTTCCCCTGACCTCCATGTTGCCTTCCTCTGAACTCCATGTTGCCTTCCTCTGACCTCCATGTTGCCTTCCTCTGAACTCCATGTTGCCTTCCCCTGACCTCCATGTTGCCTTCCTCTGACCTCCATGTTGCCTTCCCCTGACCTCCATGTTGCCTTCCTCTGACCTCCATGTTGCCTTCCCCTGACCTCCATGTTGCCTTCCTCTGAACTCCATGTTGCCTTCCTCTGACCTCCATGTTGCCTTCCCCTGACCTCCATGTTGCCTTCCCCTGACCTCCATGTTGCCTTCCTCTGAACTCCATGTTGCCTTCCCCTGACCTCCATGTTGCCTTCCTCTGAACTCCATGTTGCCTTCCTCTGACCTCCATGTTGCCTTCCCCTGACCTCCATGTTGCCTTCCTCTGAACTCCATGTTGCCTTCCTCTGACCTCCATGTTGCCTTCCCCTGACCTCCATGTTGCCTTCCCCTGACCTCCATGTTGCCTTCCTCTGAACTCCATGTTGCCTTCCCCTGACCTCCATGTTGCCTTCCCCTGACCTCCATGTTGCCTTCCTCTGACCTCCATGTTGCCTTCCTCTGAACTCCATGTTGCCTTCCCCTGACCTCCATGTTGCCTTCCTCTGAACTCCATGTTGCCTTCCCCTGACCTCCATGTTGCCTTCCTCTGACCTCCATGTTGCCTTCCTCTGAACTCCATGTTGCCTTCCCCTGACCTCCATGTTGCCTTCCTCTGAACTCCATGTTGCCTTCCTCTGACCTCCATGTTGCCTTCCCCTGACCTCCATGTTGCCTTCCTCTGACCTCCATGTTGCCTTCCCCTGACCTCCATGTTGCCTTCCTCTGACCTCCATGTTGCCTTCCTCTGACCTCCATGTTGCCTTCCCCTGACCTCCATGTTGCCTTCCTCTGAACTCCATGTTGCCTTCCTCTGACCTCCATGTTGCCTTCCTCTGACCTCCATGTTGCCTTCCTCTGACCTCCATGTTGCCTTCCCCTGAACTCCATGTTGCCTTCCCCTGACCTCCATGTTGCCTTCCTCTGACCTCCATGTTGCCTTCCTCTGACCTCCATGTTGCCTTCCTCTGACCTCCATGTTGCCTTCCCCTGACCTCCATGTTGCCTTCCTCTGAACTCCATGTTGCCTTCCCCTGACCTCCATGTTGCCTTCCCCTGACCTCCATGTTGCCTTCCTCTGACCTCCATGTTGCCTTCCTCTGACCTCCATGTTGCCTTCCCCTGACCTCCATGTTGCCTTCCTCTGAACTCCATGTTGCCTTCCCCTGACCTCCATGTTGCCTTCCTCTGACCTCCATGTTGCCTTCCTCTGACCTCCATGTTGCCTTCCTCTGACCTCCATGTTGCCTTCCCCTGACCTCCATGTTGCCTTCCTCTGAACTCCATGTTGCCTTCCCCTGACCTCCATGTTGCCTTCCCCTGACCTCCATGTTGCCTTCCTCTGACCTCCATGTTGCCTTCCTCTGACCTCCATGTTGCCTTCCCCTGACCTCCATGTTGCCTTCCTCTGAACTCCATGTTGCCTTCCCCTGACCTCCATGTTGCCTTCCTCTGACCTCCATGTTGCCTTCCTCTGACCTCCATGTTGCCTTCCCCTGACCTCCATGTTGCCTTCCTCTGACCTCCATGTTGCCTTCCTCTGAACTCCATGTTGCCTTCCTCTGACCTCCATGTTGCCTTCCTCTGAACTCCATGTTGCCTTCCTCTGAACTCCATGTTGCCTTCCCCTGACCTCCATGTTGCCTTCCTCTGAACTCCATGTTGCCTTCCTCTGACCTCCATGTTGCCTTCCTCTGAACTCCATGTTGCCTTCCTCTGACCTCCATGTTGCCTTCCTCTGACCTCCATGTTGCCTTCCTCTGACCTCCATGTTGCCTTCCCCTGACCTCCATGTTGCCTTCCTCTGAACTCCATGTTGCCTTCCTCTGACCTCCATGTTGCCTTCCCCTGACCTCCATGTTGCCTTCCTCTGACCTCCATGTTGCCTTCCTCTGACCTCCATGTTGCCTTCCCCTGACCTCCATGTTGCCTTCCTCTGAACTCCATGTTGCCTTCCTCTGACCTCCATGTTGCCTTCCCCTGACCTCCATGTTGCCTTCCTCTGACCTCCATGTTGCCTTCCTCTGACCTCCATGTTGCCTTCCCCTGACCTCCATGTTGCCTTCCTCTGAACTCCATGTTGCCTTCCCCTGACCTCCATGTTGCCTTCCTCTGACCTCCATGTTGCCTTCCTCTGACCTCCATGTTGCCTTCCCCTGACCTCCATGTTGCCTTCCTCTGAACTCCATGTTGCCTTCCTCTGACCTCCATGTTGCCTTCCTCTGAACTCCATGTTGCCTTCCTCTGACCTCCATGTTGCCTTCCTCTGAACTCCATGTTGCCTTCCTCTGACCTCCATGTTGCCTTCCTCTGACCTCCATGTTGCCTTCCTCTGAACTCCATGTTGCCTTCCTCTGACCTCCATGTTGCCTTCCTCTGAACTCCATGTTGCCTTCCTCTGAACTCCATGTTGCCTTCCTCTGACCTCCATGTTGCCTTCCTCTGAACTCCATGTTGCCTTCCTCTGACCTCCATGTTGCCTTCCTCTGACCTCCATGTTGCCTTCCTCTGACCTCCATGTTGCCTTCCCCTGACCTCCATGTTGCCTTCCTCTGAACTCCATGTTGCCTTCCTCTGACCTCCATGTTGCCTTCCTCTGACCTCCATGTTGCCTTCCTCTGACCTCCATGTTGCCTTCCTCTGACCTCCATGTTGCCTTCCTCTGACCTCCATGTTGCCTTCCCCTGACCTCCATGTTGCCTTCCTCTGAACTCCATGTTGCCTTCCTCTGACCTCCATGTTGCCTTCCCCTGACCTCCATGTTGCCTTCCTCTGACCTCCATGTTGCCTTCCTCTGACCTCCATGTTGCCTTCCCCTGACCTCCATGTTGCCTTCCTCTGAACTCCATGTTGCCTTCCTCTGACCTCCATGTTGCCTTCCTCTGAACTCCATGTTGCCTTCCCCTGACCTCCATGTTGCCTTCCTCTGACCTCCATGTTGCCTTCCCCTGACCTCCATGTTGCCTTCCTCTGACCTCCATGTTGCCTTCCCCTGACCTCCATGTTGCCTTCCTCTGAACTCCATGTTGCCTTCCCCTGACCTCCATGTTGCCTTCCTCTGAACTCCATGTTGCCTTCCTCTGACCTCCATGTTGCCTTCCCCTGACCTCCATGTTGCCTTCCCCTGACCTCCATGTTGCCTTCCTCTGAACTCCATGTTGCCTTCCCCTGACCTCCATGTTGCCTTCCTCTGACCTCCATGTTGCCTTCCTCTGACCTCCATGTTGCCTTCCCCTGACCTCCATGTTGCCTTCCCCTGACCTCCATGTTGCCTTCCTCTGAACTCCATGTTGCCTTCCCCTGACCTCCATGTTGCCTTCCTCTGACCTCCATGTTGCCTTCCCCTGACCTCCATGTTGCCTTCCTCTGACCTCCATGTTGCCTTCCCCTGACCTCCATGTTGCCTTCCTCTGAACTCCATGTTGCCTTCCCCTGACCTCCATGTTGCCTTCCTCTGAACTCCATGTTGCCTTCCTCTGACCTCCATGTTGCCTTCCCCTGACCTCCATGTTGCCTTCCCCTGACCTCCATGTTGCCTTCCTCTGAACTCCATGTTGCCTTCCCCTGACCTCCATGTTGCCTTCCTCTGACCTCCATGTTGCCTTCCTCTGACCTCCATGTTGCCTTCCCCTGACCTCCATGTTGCCTTCCCCTGACCTCCATGTTGCCTTCCTCTGAACTCCATGTTGCCTTCCCCTGACCTCCATGTTGCCTTCCCCTGACCTCCATGTTGCCTTCCTCTGAACTCCATGTTGCCTTCCCCTGACCTCCATGTTGCCTTCCTCTGAACTCCATGTTGCCTTCCTCTGACCTCCATGTTGCCTTCCCCTGACCTCCATGTTGCCTTCCCCTGACCTCCATGTTGCCTTCCTCTGAACTCCATGTTGCCTTCCCCTGACCTCCATGTTGCCTTCCTCTGACCTCCATGTTGCCTTCCTCTGACCTCCATGTTGCCTTCCTCTGAACTCCATGTTGCCTTCCCCTGACCTCCATGTTGCCTTCCCCTGACCTCCATGTTGCCTTCCCCTGACCTCCATGTTGCCTTCCTCTGAACTCCATGTTGCCTTCCCCTGACCTCCATGTTGCCTTCCTCTGAACTCCATGTTGCCTTCCTCTGACCTCCATGTTGCCTTCCCCTGACCTCCATGTTGCCTTCCTCTGAACTCCATGTTGCCTTCCCCTGACCTCCATGTTGCCTTCCCCTGACCTCCATGTTGCCTTCCCCTGACCTCCATGTTGCCTTCCTCTGAACTCCATGTTGCCTTCCTCTGAACTCCATGTTGCCTTCCCCTGACCTCCATGTTGCCTTCCTCTGAACTCCATGTTGCCTTCCCCTGACCTCCATGTTGCCTTCCTCTGAACTCCATGTTGCCTTCCCCTGACCTCCATGTTGCCTTCCCCTGACCTCCATGTTGCCTTCCTCTGAACTCCATGTTGCCTTCCTCTGACCTCCATGTTGCCTTCCTCTGAACTCCATGTTGCCTTCCCCTGACCTCCATGTTGCCTTCCCCTGACCTCCATGTTGCCTTCCTCTGACCTCCATGTTGCCTTCCTCTGAACTCCATGTTGCCTTCCTCTGACCTCCATGTTGCCTTCCTCTGAACTCCATGTTGCCTTCCCCTGACCTCCATGTTGCCTTCCCCTGACCTCCATGTTGCCTTCCCCTGACCTCCATGTTGCCTTCCTCTGACCTCCATGTTGCCTTCCTCTGAACTCCATGTTGCCTTCCCCTGACCTCCATGTTGCCTTCCTCTGACCTCCATGTTGCCTTCCCCTGACCTCCATGTTGCCTTCCTCTGACCTCCATGTTGCCTTCCCCTGACCTCCATGTTGCCTTCCTCTGACCTCCATGTTGCCTTCCCCTGACCTCCATGTTGCCTTCCTCTGACCTCCATGTTGCCTTCCCCTGACCTCCATGTTGCCTTCCTCTGACCTCCATGTTGCCTTCCTCTGACCTCCATGTTGCCTTCCTCTGACCTCCATGTTGCCTTCCCCTGACCTCCATGTTGCCTCGGTCCCCTCCTCACCCCTCCCACTCTCTCTTGCCTCCCCTCCGCCCCTCCTCCCCTGTGCGCGAGGGGGGCCAGCGCAAGCGCTGCTGGTGCTGAGGGCGGCGCTGGGAGTGACGGCGAGCACGTGGCTCGTGGACTCGCCGTGCGACGTGGCGGGCAACCCGCCCCTGCCGGGCAGCTGGGCGGGCGTGGCCTGTGACGTCACCGGTCAAGTCGTCTCGCTGTCAGTCACTGCCGCACGCCACGCCCTGCATCTCTGCCCTGCATCTCTGCCCTGCATCTCTGCCCTGCATCTCTGCCCTGCATCTCTGCCCTGCATCTCTGCCCTGCATCTCTGCCCTGCATCTCTGCCCTGCATCTCTGCCCTGCATCTCTGCCCTGCATCTCTGCCCTGCATCTCTGCCCTGCATGCTCCTCTTCTTTCTCTGCAACGAATGCATGTATTTTCCCTGGGCTGCCGTTGCTCCTTTGATTCGCTGACTCTTGCCTCTGCTTTGATTGTCGCATGGTGGCACGGTGGCATGGTGACGTCACCCCAGGGAGCTCCCCAAGATGGGACTGCGGGGAGATCTGCCTGCCGATGTGTCCAAGCTCACTGCCCTCACCCGCATGTAAGCTCACTGCCCTCACCCGCATGTAAGCTCACTGCCCTCACCCGCATGTAAGCTCACTGCCCTCACCCGCATGTAAGCTCACTGCCCTCACCCGCATGTAAGCTCACTGCCCTCACCCGCATGTAAGCTCACTGCCCTCACCCGCATGTAAGCTCACTGCCCTCACCCGCATGTAAGCTCACTGCCCTCACCCGCATGTAAGCTCACTGCCCTCACCCGCATGTAAGCTCACTGCCCTCACCCGCATGTCAGTGCCCCTCCCACTGCCCTCCCACCGCAAGCTCTTCACACACATACACAGCATCACTTTGCAAACCCCACTTTTGCACTCCATGCAGAATGCCCCATGCTTGTTCGTACGAGTTTCTTGCGTGTTCATGCAAGTCCCATGCTTGAGCATGCAAGTGCCATTCTTCTGCATGCGAGTCCCACGCATGAGAATGAGAATTTCATGCTTGTGCATGCGTTTCCCATGCTTCCTCATGCGAGTGCCATGCTTGTTTATGCGAGTGCCATGCTTGTTTATGCGAGTGCCATGCTTGTTTATGCGAGTGCCATGCTTGTTTATGCGAGTGCCATACTTGTTTATGCGAGTGCCATGCTTGTTTATGCGAGTGCCATGCTTGTTTATGCGAGTGCCATGCTTGTTTATGCGAGTGCCTTCCCTGATCCTCGTGTTCTGCTCCCTGGAACCCCCCCCCCCCCCCCCCCCCCCCCCCCCTGCACCTCCCCCTGCGCGCCCCTGGGCAGCAACATGGCGGGCAACCTGCTGGAGGCGCGCCTGGGCGAGTGGGCCACGGCGCTCTCCACGCTCAAGGCGCTCAAACACCTGTCCGTGCCCTCTTGCCCTCGTGCCCTCTTGCCCTCTTGCCCTCTTGCCCTCTTGCCCTCGTGCCCTCTTGCCCTCGTGCCCTCTTGCCCTCTTGCCCTCTTGCCCTCGTGCCCTCTTGCCCTCTTGCCCTCTTGCCCTCGTGCCCTCTTGCCCTCTTGCCCTCTTGCCCTCTTGCCCTCTTGCCCTCTTGCCCTCTTGCCCTCGTGCCCTCTTGCCCTCTTGCCCTCTTGCCCTCTTGCCCTCTTGCCCTCTTGCCCTCTTGCCCTCTTGCCCTCTTGCCCTCTTGCCCTCTTGCCCTCTTGCCCTCTTGCCCTCTTGCCCTCTTGCCCTCTTGCCCTCTTGCCCTCTTGCCCTCTTGCCCTCTTGCCCTCTTGCCCTCCCTGCCCTCCCTGCCCTCGGTTCCCTGCCCTGAGCTCTCTTTCCGTACCCTGCCCAACCCTCCACTGCCCTGCCTGCCCGCCTTTCCATGTGCTCATGTTTCCACCAGTCTCCTAACACCTCACCGTCTTCCCCTGCCCTTGCTCCACCTTCGCCACCCCTCACTGCACGCCCACTTGGCCACCCCTCACTGCACGCCCACTTGGCCACCCCTCACTGCACGCCCACTTGGCCACCCCTCACTGCACGCCCACTTGGCCACCCCTCACTGCACGCCCACTTGGCCACGCCGCCCTGTTCCCATCCCGGCCAACCCACCCGTCCCCAACAGCGCTCTCAACTACAACTGGTTCTCCGGCCCTCTGCCTTCCTACCTGCTCACTCTCTCCTCCCTCACTACGCTGTAAGTGCCACACTCACTCATGCCCACGCACTCACGCACGCACGCTGCAACACCCACTCACAGACATACCTCAACAGTCCTGCTCTTTGCTTCTCCTTATTTCATACGACAACCCATGTCCTCACACCCCATACGCACCCTCCCACCACCCCTTGCACGTCCCACTCACCGTTCGCTCTTCTTCCCCCCCCCCCTGGCCCTGCACCACTCTGCCCTGCACCACTCTGCCCTGCACCACTCTGCCCTCCACCACTCTGCCCTGCACCACTCTGCCCTGCACCACTCTGCCCTGCACCACTCTGCCCTGCACCACTCTGCCCTGCACCACTCTGCTCTCCACCACTCGGCCGTCCACCGCCCCTGCGAGCAGCAACGTGCAGTTCAACTACCTCACGGGCGCCATCACGGGCGTGCCTGCAGCGGCCCTCAAGACGCTCAACGTCGCGTCCAACTTGCTCGCCGGCTCCTTCCCCGCGTCCACCACCACCATGTGTGACGCGCGCAGCAACTGCCTCACAGACGCCTCCAAGTGCCTCTCCTCGGGCTCCTCCGCGCAGCGCGCTGCGGCCGCCTGCGCCATCTGCGGCGCCGCCAACGCGTCGGCGCTGCTGTGCGGGGGCGGCGTGTGTGCGCCCAACACCACGGCGCTGCTCGCACCCAACACGTCCAACAGCGCCTCCGCCGCCCTGCTGCCACTCATCTGCACTGGCGTCCGCATCGACCCCAACGCCCGTGCGTCCCTCCGCCCCCTCCCTCCGCCCCCTCCCTCCGCCCCCTCCCTCGGCCTGCTCTGCTGCATGCACACCCACTCCTCTCCTGTGTGCCCGCACTCTGCTGTCTCTCTGTCATCCGCTCCCCCTCACCCACTCTTCCTCTCTGCCTCTTTTTCCCCCCGGTGCCCCCCTGTGCCTGCCTGTGCCCCCCTGTGCCCGCCTGTGCCCCCCTGTGTCCGCCTGTGCCCCCCTGTGCGCGCCCCTGCGTGCCTCTCCACGCAGTGCCGGTGCTGGCCAGCATGAGGACGGCGCTGGGAGTGCCGCACGCGGGGTGGGGCGTGCAGACGCTGTGTGCGGTCGCGGGCGTCGCCAGGGGCCCACAGGACCTGCCGGGCGTGAGCTGCAGCATGCAGGGCGCCGTGGTGGATGTGTTTCTCAAGCAGCGCCTCATGCGCGGCTCCATGCACTCAGGCATCGCCAAGCTCTCCGCCCTCACCTCCCTGTCAGTGCCGCGCCGCTCGCCTCCTCCCACCGTCTCTCCCTGCCGCTCATTCCCGCTGCTCTTGTTTCCGTTCATTCCCCTGCAAGGCCATGGGGAGTCTCCACCTCACACGGGCTTGTCCCTCCGCTCCGCCATGTGCTCATGCCGCCCACTCCCCACTGCCAACGCCCGAATCCCCTTCCACTCCCAACTGCCCCACACAGGGACCTGTCGAGCAACGTCCTGTCGGGCCCGTTGGACCCCTTCATCTCGCCGCTCACCAACCTCACCGCACTCAAATCTCTGTACGCCCTCCACCTCCTCCCTGCCCTCTCTCTCTTCTCCCGCTCCTTCCTGCAATCCTTGTTTTTCGCTGCTCTCCGGGCCCTCGTGCCGTTTGTCTCCACTCGTCCCTAAGCTGCCGTGCGGGAGTTTCCCTCCGCTCTCCCCCCTGCCCTCGCATGTGGCGCGCTGCAGCGTGCTGGGCTACAACTTCTTCTCGGGCTCGCTGCCCTCCACCCTCTCCGCCATCAAGACCCCCTCCTTGCTGTGAGCGCCCTCACCCTCTCCCTGCTGTGAGCGCCCTCACCCTCTCCCTGCTGTGAGCGCCCTCACCCTCTCCCTGCTGTGAGCGCCCTCACCCTCTCCCTGCTGTGAGCCACATCAAACTCCCCTCATATCCACCCTGCCCATATTCCGTCTCTCCCGCATGTCCTGCCTTGCTGCCCCGTGCGCCATGTGCCATGCCATCGCACCCACCCTTCAACCACCCTGCCGCGTGTGCGTGTGTGTGCGTGTGTGTGTGGGGGGGGTGCAAGCAGGAGCGTGGGGTGGAACTACCTGACGGGGTCGGTGCCGGTGCTGGGCGCGGCGCTGCAGGTGCTGGACGCCGAGAACAACTGGCTCGTCGGCAAGTTCCCCGCGCCCGCCGCCTCCGCCACCGCCAACTGGACCTTGTGCACGGCGCGCGCCAACTGCTTCACGGACGCCACGGCGTGCCGGAACAACAGCAACAGAAACCAGGGCGTGGTGCAGCGCCTCTCGTGCGCCATCTGCAACAGCACCAACGGCACGGGCACGCTGTGCCCGAACAACATCACCTGCCAGCCCGCCCCGGCCGCTGTGCAGAATGCCACAGCCGTGCGCACCCCGACCACCCCCGTACTCAACCTCACCTGCCCTCCTGTTCCGCCCGTCGCCATCAACGCCAATGCAGGTACCACTGCTGCTGTGCCTCATGCTGCTGCCACCATAATGCTGCACGCCCATGCCCATTCCTCTCACCGCTGCTGCCCATGTGCAAACCCATTCCTCTCACCGCTGCTGCCCATGTGCAAACCCATTCCTCTCACCGCTGCTGCCCATGTGCAAACCCATTCCTCTCACCGCTGCTGCCCATGTGCAAACCCATTCCTCTCACCGCTGCTGCCCATGTGCAAACCCATTCCTCTCACCGCTGCTGCCCATGTGCAAACCCATTGCTCTCACCGCTGCTGCCCATGTGCAAACCCATTGCTCTCACCGCTGCTGCCCATGTGCAAACCCATTCCTCTCACCGCTGCTGCCCATGTGCAAACCCATTCCTCTCACCACTGCTGCCCATGTGCAAACCCATTCCTCTCACCGCTGCTGCCCATGTGCAAACCCATTCCTCTCACCGCTGCTGCCCATGTGCAAACCCATTCCTCTCACCGCTGCTGCCCATGTGCAAACCCATTCCTCTCACCGCTGCTGCCCATGTGCAAACCCATTGCTCTCACAGCTGCTGCCCATGTGTCCGTCGGCCCCCATGCACCAGCGGCGGCGCTGATGAACGTGAAGGCGGCGCTGGGCGTGACCCTCGCCAACTGGGACCTCAACTCCTCCTGCACCTCCCTCGGCAGCTCCGGCGGCGGCTTCTCCGGCGTCGAGTGCGACCCCCTCGGCAACCCCGTCAAGCTGTGAGCGCCCAGCAGCGGAGGGGCGCACGGGGGCAGGGGGTTGGGAGGGGGCAGGGGGTTGGGAGGGGGCAGGGGTGGTCGCATCAGAGGGGAAAGGTTCCAAGGCTCGTTTTCTCGTAACGGCCTCTCTAATGAGGAGCATTGGATTGAGAGAGAAGCAAGACAATTCTCAGTCAAGCACTCTTGTGCGTTTTCTTTGCATCTCTCATTGGCCCCTCATCACATCGTCTTCCCATCCTGCTCCCACCACGGCGCTTCCCTTCCCCCTCACTCGCTCCACTTGCTCCCACCTTCCCGCCCCACCCCGCGCGTCCTGACAGCGCGCTGGATAGTCAGAAGCTGTTTGGCATTCTGCATGCTGACATCACCAAACTCGCCACACTCACATTCCTGTAAGCACAAGTTTTGCCTAAGCATGCACATTCTGAACCTTCTGGCCAAGCACTCACATTCATGTAATAACAACTTCTGGCTAAGAACTCATATTCATGTATGCATTACTTTTGCCCAAGAACTCACATTCATGTATGCAGACTTGTTGCCTAGGCACTTGCATGATCGCTTGTCTCTTCCGGTGCGGCCATCCCCCAGCTTCTTGTCAGATTGCAACACCACTCTTGGTCACCTTCCTATTCCCCCCTTCCCCTTGCCCCTCCTCTCTCTCCCACCCCCCCCCCCCCCCCCCCCCCCCCCCCCCCCCCCCTCCCCGTGCGTGGCACGGGGCGGGGGTGCAGGTCGCTCAAGTCGAACCTCTTCAGGGCGCGCCTTGAGGACTTCGCCCCCAGGATTCCCGCACTAACCAACCTCGCAGTGCTGTGAGTCGCCTCTCAACCTCGCAGTGCTGTGAGTCGCCTCTCAACCTCGCAGTGCTGTGAGTCGCCTCTCAACCTCGCAGTGCTGTGAGTCGCCTCTCAACCTCGCAGTGCTGTGAGTCGCCTCTCAGCCTCGCAGTGCTGTGAGTCGCCTCTCAACCTCGCAGTGCTGTGAGTCGCCTCTCAACCTCGCAGTGCTGTGAGTCGCCTCTCAGCCTCGCAGTGCTGTGAGTCGCCTCTCAACCTCGCAGTGCTGTGAGTCGCCTCTCAACCTCGCAGTGCTGTGAGTCGCCTCTCAACCTCGCAGTGCTGTGAGTCGCCTCTCAACCTCGCAGTGCTGTGAGTCGCCTCTCAACCTCGCAGTGCTGTGAGTCGCCTCTCAACCTCGCAGTGCTGTGAGTCGCCTCTCAACCTCGCAGTGCTGTGAGTCGCCTCTCAACCTCGCAGTGCTGTGAGTCGCCTCTCAACCTCGCAGTGCTGTGAGTCGCCTCTCAACCTCGCAGTGCTGTGAGTCGCCTCTCAACCTCGCAGTGCTGTGAGTCGCCTCTCAACCTCGCAGTGCTGTGAGTCGCCTCTCAACCTCGCAGTGCTGTGAGTCGCCTCTCAACCTCGCAGTGCTGTGAGTCGCCTCTCAACCTCGCAGTGCTGTGAGTCGCCTCTCAACCTCGCAGTGCTGTGAGTCGCCTCTCAACCTCGCAGTGCTGTGAGTCGCCTCTCAACCTCGCAGTGCTGTGAGTCGCCTCTCAGCCTCGCAGTGCTGTGAGTCGCCTCTCAACCTCGCAGTGCTGTGAGTCGCCTCTCAACCTCGCAGTGCTGTGAGTCGCCTCTCAACCTCGCAGTGCTGTGAGTCGCCTCTCAACCTCGCAGTGCTGTGAGTCGCCTCTCAACCTCGCAGTGCTGTGAGTCGCCTCTCAACCTCGCAGTGCTGTGAGTCGCCTCTCAACCTCGCAGTGCTGTGAGTCGCCTCTCAACCTCGCAGTGCTGTGAGTCGCCTCTCAACCTCGCAGTGCTGTGAGTCGCCTCTCAACCTCGCAGTGCTGTGAGTCGCCTCTCAACCTCGCAGTGCTGTGAGTCGCCTCTCAACCTCGCAGTGCTGTGAGTCGCCTCTCAACCTCGCAGTGCTGTGAGTCGCCTCTCAACGTCGCAGTGCTGTGAGTCGCCTCTCAACCTCGCAGTGCTGTGAGTCGCCTCTCAACCTCGCAGTGCTGTGAGTCACCTCTCAACCTCGCAGTGCTGTGAGTCGCCTCTCAACCTCGCAGTGCACTGCTGTGTGCTTGCTCCACCTCTACTCACCCCACCGTGGGTTGCTGCTCATCGCATGGCCCCACTTACCGCTCATCGCATGACACCACTTGTCCCACTCGCATCTTCTCTCACCAGCTCACCCCCACTCGCATCTTGGCTTGCCAGCTTACTCACTCTCCGTGTCCTTCCTCTGTATCCGTGTGTGCTGCCTGTTGTCGCTGTGTGTGTGTGAGTGTGTGTGTGTGTGCGTGGTTTTGCTGCTGTGTATGGGTGCTGCTGTGTGTGCATGTGCTGGTGTGCTGGTATGCATGGGTGTGCTGGTGTGTGGGTGGGTCTGCTGGTGTGTGGGTGTGCTGGTGTGTGTGTGTGGGTCTGCTGTTGTGTGGGTGTGCTGGTGTGTGTGTGGGTTTGCCAGTGTGTGGGTGGGTCTGCTGGTGTGTGGGTGTGCTGGTGTGTGTGTGGGTCTGCGTGTGTGTGGGTCTGCTGGTGTGTGGGTGTGCTGGTGTGTGGGTGTGCTGGTGTGTGGGTGGGTCTGCTGGTGTGTGGGTGTGCTGGTGTGTGTGTGGGTCTGCTGGTGTGTGGGTGTGCTGATGTGTGTGTGGGTTTGCCGGTGTGTGGGTGGGTCTGCTGGTGTGTGGGTGTGCTGGTGTGTGTGTGGGTCTGCGTGTGGGTGGGTCTGCGTGTGGGTGGGTCTGCTGGTGTGTGGATGTGCTGGTGTGTGGATGTGCTGGTGTGGGTGTGCTGGTGTGTGTGTGGGTGTGCTGGTGTGTGTGTGGGTGTGCTGGTGTGTGTGTGGTTGTGCTGGTGTGTGGGTGTGCTGGTGTGTGGGTGTGCTGGTGTGTGGGTGTGCTGGTGTGTGGGTGTGCTGGTGTGTGTGTGGGTGTGCTGGTGTGTGTGTGGGTGTGCTGGTGTGTGTGTGGGTGTGCTGGTGTGGGCGTGTGTCCTCTGCAGCCTGCTCGACTTCAACTGGTTCTTTGGCAGTCTGCCCCCTCCGCTCGTCGCCATGCGCAAGCTCACACGCCTGTCCGTCTCTCTCCAACCACCACCTCCCCATTCCCCTGCGCTCCCCTGCTCCTTTACAAACCTTTTCGCCTGAACCATTTGTTTTCGTAGCATCCCGAGCCATGAAGTAGCTGAGAATATGTATGCCTCCATCCATCCTCTCCCCTCCAACCTCCTTCTCCCCCTTCCATCCCCACCCTGCCCCCCTCTCTGTCCTCGTGCCAGGGGCCTGTCGTACAACTATCTGACGTACCGCGTGCCGCCGCTGTCATCCACGCTCAGGGACATCGACATGTCGTTCAACTTCCTCTCGGGCGCCTTCCCCACCCACTTCGCCACCTCGTGTGGCGCCAGCAACAACTGCCTTCAGGACGTGACCATGTGCGACACCAAGGGCACGGCACAGCGCATGTCCGGGTGCAACATGTGCCAGGGCACGGCGAATGGGCAGGGCATGCTGTGCTCCGGCAATGGCGTGTGCACCGTCAACGCCACCGTGCCCTTCAACGCCGCCACGCCCAACGCTGTCGGCGCTGCCCTGCTGCCCTTATCTTGCGTCAGTAAGTGCCTGGTGCTTGCTGCCGATGATGCGGAGTGGGTAAGGGGTTGGTGAGTGCTGCTGCCGCTAATTCACTGGAGAGTGGTGGTGTCATCTCACTGCCTTTCCCTGCAAATAACTCACTCTCCTCTCTCTCTCTCCATCCCTCTCCCTCTCCCTCCCCTGTCTCTCCCACCGCACCTGTGCGTGTGTGTGCAGACATTGTGTGCACCATCGCCCCGTTCATCGCATGTCCTGCCGACTGGCGCTGCACTGGTCTGATCTGTGCCAGCCCAACCGCCAACTGCTTTGGCTACCTCTGCCGCTAGTCGCCATTCACTCTGCTTGCCTGCTGCATGCCTGCTCGCTTCGCTGCAGTGCTGCTTCGTTTGGCTTCAGTGCTGCTTGAGTTTGCTGCAGTGCTGCAGCTCTAGTGTTGATTTGCATCAGTGTTACTTGAATTGCTGTAGGAACAATGTGCTCTCTCTGGCTGTACACGCTCATGATGTGTACAGCATTTTCTAACATTTTGTTTTGCCAAGTACTGTAATTTCTTGGGTGGGTTCTAAATGGTTTGGGTGAACTAGAGAAGCGAATTTAGTAAGAGACCCCCTGAACCGTGTTAGATTCCGAAAACGTACATAGATTTCTGACCCGTTACAGGATGCATCGGCCCATGGAACATAGTTAACGCCGACCGGACTCCAGGACTCCGGACTCCAGCACAGCCATCTCAATGGTGTCGTCTCCCTCATCGTCTGAAAGAAAAGGGTGGTCCGCGGCATCATAGTCACCCTCCTCTTCACCATCCTCATCGGACTCAGACTGCTCCCAGTCAAGCCCGTGCACCTGCTTCTCGTGTGCGTTCTCCTGGTCAATGGCCTTCCCTTTGCGCTTCCTCTCTGCAGATGCGAATAAAGGGGACTTGGCAGGGCGCCTGGGCTTCTCTCGCCATTTGGCAAGAGCTGCTGACCAGTCAATCCCGTAGTCCAGCAGCGAGATGGCCATCAGCTCTGCCAGTCTCGCGTTGCCCAAGGCGCCCCTCACCCAGGACTTGATCACATTCTAACGCGAAAAGCCGCGCTCGCACTCGACTGTTGAGAGGGGCATCACCGCCGTAGCTTGCCACATCCGCATGATGTTCGGCCAGCGCCTGGAAAACCAACACCAAGCAAGGGGAAAGCAGAGGAGATGTGTGAGCATCGGCATGTGAAGGATCTGTTGAGATGAGCAACACGATTGGTTAACGCACCTTGTAGCCTCAGCTGTGTTCATGAAGTTGCACAGGCCCTGGTAGAAGCCCTCCTCTTCATGGTGCGCCTCCATGATAGGCGCCCACGAGAGAAGCTCCTTCTCGCCGGCAGTCTAGTCGAAGCCGGGGAGCTTGTGGTTGAAAATCGCACTGCATCCCTGGAGATACTCCCGCACCTTCCGGTCTCGCTGCTGCCATGGCTTGGGCCACTTGCTCGCGCTGAATAGCTTCGTCGGCGCTAGCCTCCTGAGGTCTGCAAGCCGGAAGTTGAGCCTGTTCACACACTGCTGTGCGAACTTGGTGCACAACTTCTCGCACTCCTTGTAGGAGCTGCCGTACACGTGCCCGTCTAGCTGCCGCTCGTGTACCTTGTACACATGAGACACTGGCTGTCCCTCAGTGTCGATTCCGCGCACCTTCACTTTCTTCCCTCCTCCTCTCTTGTACAGCGCCAAGAATGCAGACAGCGCGGGGCTTTCGCCTGCTCCAAACACGTTCTCGCACTCGAGGTAGCGCTGCCGCATATCCATCGTAGCCTCGTCAATGTCCTTTGTATCTCTGTCACGTCAACCTGCAGTAAGAAAACACACGGTTCGTGATACATGTTAGCGGCCTACGCTGGTTTATGGAGACAACGGCAAGACGACATGGTTAAAACAATCACAGTCTCACCTCTCTTTTCTGAAACTTGAGGTTGAGCTCGTTCATGATGCCCATAACGTCTGCTAGGAAAAACGAACATAACTGAAATTTGTACGAGATGATTGTCTCGTACAACTTGTGTTTGTTCTCGTACAGCAGCACGATGGAGGCGCCTAGCACCCTGCACAAGCGACGCACAGCTTCGCTGCGTGACAACTATCTGACGGTGTGGATTCCTTGGACTTCGAGATCTGTTTTGTGTATGGTCCTCTGCAGGTATTTAAAACGCTGGCTCGAGTTGCTGGAGCTGGACAGCAAGGCAGCCAAGGTTCGGATGACCTTGTCGACCATGTCCAAGTCTGGACATGCAAGGGCAGCGTCTTTGACCGCTAGCGCTTCCCTGCACACAAGGCGAATAGCACGGTAGAACATAGTTAGTACATTTGTGTTTTACTCCTGACATGTACACGGCCCCTACGCACCTATGAGCGATACAGTGGGAAGACACCAAGTGAGGAATGTGCTCTCGAAGTCTTGTCACCAAGCCCGTGTATCACGTTGGCGCCGTCGGTGCTCATCGCGCAGATGCGCTGGATGTCCACTCCCACAATCAGCAAATGGTTTATAATAACAGAGAGAAGTAATGCAGCGTCACACTTATCGATCGGGAGGTGAGCAAAGAACTCAGTGACCGGGCGGTGATAGCGAAGGAACGTAAGATACACGATGAGGTGCTTCCCCCTCATTCGATCTGTGCTCTCGTCGCAGTTGATGCCCAAGAAGGGTGAAGACTGAATGTGTCGCATCTGCAACGACTGCAGCACAGAAGCGATACAGTGCACCATATCTTGGAATCCATACTTGTAATAACAATAGTAGTGAAAGCAAAGTTAGGATATGAAATCTTCAAAGCACGGTTACATCTGTAGGCATATTACTCAAATATGAGCCAACATACACTCACCGGGTAAGGTACACGCCATAGGACTGTCTTGGAATATCTGGCGTGTCCTGCTCATACAAAATCGCACGAGGCGCCCAAACATGGATATGGGCGCATCAACCTTGCAGATGAACTCGGTGGTCCGCAGGAGGCGAATCACTCTGCGGCCCTCCACGTCCCTCGTTTGGAAAAATCGCCCATGCGCTTTTGCTTGCCCTCAAGCGCCTCCGCGATCTCCATCTGGCTGTCCACCGCATCTTTGTGGACAATACAATGTTCGTGGATGCGTATGGTTTGTGTTTGCAGATCGGGCGCACCGTCACCAGATGATGAGTTCTTGGTCGTTTCCTTGCCGTACGCCCGGCAAATGGCGCATTTGAGAGTCGGGTGCCCATCCTTCGCTCGGACAAGCTGCAGCCAAGAGAACTGCGACAGCCATTTCGCATTGTAATTGGCTTCCGCCAGCAGGTACTTCTGCTCTACTTTCTCCCTGGCCGTCAACTTAATCGGGGCGGGCTCATCTGCGATGGATTCTGTAGGTATTGGCGGTGGGGAAGGTTTTTTTAGTCTACCGCCACTAATCAAGTTGCTTTGCAGCCATATATGGGTTCGTTGCTTTTTCGCGGTAGACTTGGTAGTGGTACAAGGCACTGGGTAGCGAACGGTAGTGGCCGTTTTCAGGGTCTGTGAGACCAACGGGCCCTTGCTAGATGATGCTACGGTAGGAGGTAGCTTATACTGAGCTGCATGAGGCGTGGGTGGCGGCGGGGAACGTAATTTCTCCGGTTCTAGCTGGCTTACAGCTGCTGGGACGACTGTCGCGGGCCGTAGGCAGTCAAGGTCGAACCTAATAACGGCAGGGTTAGCCTCCTTCGTGCGAGGCTCGACCGCATTTGCGGAACCGTGACCATCTACGGCATGGTCTGTCATGGCTGAGTGTAAAGCGTCGAACAAAATGCTGGACACACACAGAGCTAAGTAAGCCGAGCAAAGCAGAGCAGGGTTGTGAAGGAATCCTTGGAGAAGAAGACCCCAACCCACTCAGCACTGTTGGAGAACAACATGATGGGTGGTTGATTGCAATCGTCGGTGGTGTCGCACCGCCATGCCCACCACCCATCACTGATGTAGAGCACTGCCACTTCTGTACCGTCCAAGTCGCAGCGCGAAGGGACTTGACTGCTCCAGCACACCGTTTTTCCCCCATTGACACCGCGTGCCTGTGCCAATTGTGCCACGTTAATGATACAGCGCGGCAATTTGGCTGCATATCGTGGGGAAACCATTTTAGTCTGATAAAGTAAGCCCTGATCACAGGTTGAGGCGCGAAGTGAGTTTTGGCGCGAACTTCATCACCCCCTCGAAAATGCCATGTGGCACCTCTCTGGCCACTTGCAGCGGAAGATTCACCCCGCACACGCTAAACCCATGGTGTGTACAATTTCGGGGGGTGTTTTGTCCGGGAGAATACGGTAGGTTCCACCCCGTGTTCTGAGTGGTGCTCCTAGCCTAGACCGTCTGACCTTGTTTGTTCCTTGCCTTGCCGGCTTCTGGACTAGCCCTCAGGCCTCGCTTCGTTACTCGTTTTGGCTCCTAGCCTAGCCACCCCGGCTTAGGTCACTCCTAGTTCCGGCCGTTCCGGCCATTCCTAGTTCCGGCCGTTCCTCGACCGTTTCTTTTGGCTCCGTACACCCCTTGTTCGTTTCTAGCTCCGACCGTTTCTAGCCTTCCGCTTCTAGACCGGTAGCTCTCTCGTTATGGCGTCCATTCGCGTCATGCGTTTTGATGCGGAGGGTAGAGCCCTAGACTTCCCCTCCTGGCTCCTCCGCGCCGAGCGGTTCCTCCAGAGTCAGCGCGAGGATAATGATACACTCTGGGCGCATGCCTCTGGTGACCTGCCTGAGCCCCCGCCCCCTATTGCCCTGGGTGCTGAGCCTACTGAGTCGGATCGGGAGCGCTTCAATAAGGCCCGTACAGCTCTGTCGGCATGGCAGTCTCGTGACACGGTGGCTTGCATTGCACTCGGCAGTCTTCTCCCTAAGTAGAGGCCCACTTCACCCAGGTTCGATCGGCCAAGGCCTTGTTCACTGTGATTAAGACCCGTTACTCGACTCCATCCTCCGCCTCTCTTGGTCGCCTCTTTCTGCCGATTCTATTTCCCGTCTTAGGAGCGTTTGACCGCACTGCTGACCTTTTCACCCACCTGCGCTCGCTAGACGCCAGCTACCCTGCTGCTTGTACTGAGGCTGAGCTTGCCCTGCTCCCCCCGCCCATTGCGATCACTATTCACTTCATCGTCACTAGCCTTCTTAGTCCCCTTGCACCTGTCCGTGACGCGCTTCTTCGGAAGCACCCTAGTGCACTCACTTTCGATGTCCTTGAGACAACTCTCAAGGACATCGAGCGAACATCCGCTCCGTTGCCTCCGCTTCTGGCGCCGTAGTTCCCCCGCTCTTCCAGGGGTGCACTGTCCCACAGCTTCCCACCTTCACGGCTTCTCTTGCCTCTACTGCGTCTCCTGCTTATGACGAGACTGCAGCCGTGTCCACCATGGGTGGGCAGCCCCGGGGCAGGGGAGGTAAGAGAGGGGGGAAGGGTGGTGGCTGGGGTGGCGGAGGTACTAGTGCCACTAGTGCGTCTGGTGGTGGTGGCACTGGAGGCAGTACTGGGCCTGCGGGCCCGACGGGAGGGGGTGCCGGTGCGGCTGCTTGGTACACAGCACAGCAGCGGCAGCAGTCCCAGCAGCAGCAGCCACAGCAGGGACAGCCACAGCAGCAGGGACAGCCGCAGCAGCAAGTTCAGCGGTAGGTGCTGCAGCAGCCTCAGCAGTGGGGACCTGGTGGACCAGGGACCGTTGGTCGTGGCGGTGGTCCGCCCAGCTCGGCGTTGCGTGGTGTCACTTCGCCTACCTGCCCGTACGTTATTCAAACGGGCACTCGTAAGGGTCAACACTTTGGCCGTTTTCACACTACGGGTCAGTGCTTTGCGCAGCTCACGGACCGCGTCCGCGCCCAGTACGGCTTTTGCCCCTCTCCGGACTGGGCCCCGCTTGTTCGCTCTCGTGGTCTTGCTTTGTGGGACATGTCTACAGTAGAGTTAGTTAATGCCTTGGGATCTGCTTATGTGATGTATGCTGATGTTGACTATAGTGCTGCTGGATCTGTTTGCTCGCGTGTTCGTAGCTTAGGACCCTTGCCTGTTGCTAGTGTAGGTGCTTGTGCTTCCAGTCTAGGTGCTTGTGCAGCTTCTAGAAAAATCTGTTTTTAAAACTCGATCATACCCACTTGAAAACATTTCAATTGAATCCTTAAGAGATAAATTTTCAATCATCTCTTGCTCGTTCAAGAAGTTGCCAGCAATCATGGATGTTGTGGACCGTTGTGTCCAAGAGCACCCACTCACATCAGTGAGATTGGTGACTCGAATCGTGAAAGGAGAGTTATTCCGCCGATTTCACGAATGGCATATCCTGGCAACATGGGACAAAGGGCACCATGTTTGGTGGACCACATCCCAAAGGTTTGGACGTGCTCACAACAAATTTAGGGTGTACTATCGACCTCCTAAACTTGTTGTCGCTTGTCCCATCCGTCCACGATTCCAACAGAATTTACTGTTAACTGGACGCATGAATGGGGACGAAGCAAGGATTCTCGTCGATACAGGCGCGTCGGTTTCCCTTGTTGATGAAACTTGGGTTACGACACACAACGTCCTCGTTGTAGGAACGTCGTGTCCCATCCGCTTGGGTGACGATCGTGTCATTCCAAGTAAAGGACAGACACATATCGACATGAACGTACAGGACTATAGCGAAACAATTCGCGTGTATGTCCTGCCACTTTTGTCAGGAGTCGACCTCATCCTTGGCATGGATTGGTTGCAGATCTATCACACTACCGTGGCCGGCTGTCCCCTCTGGCACTGGTCTCCACATCCCCTCGT